ACCAGTGTAGGAAAATTATCAAAAGAAATCATCAAAAGCTAGTATGGGCACAATAGGGTAATTATTTTAGTAAATAAACTTAATATCCTGGTATATGTATTTTCATTGACAGAGTTATACTCTCCTATCTTGATGCATTTGATGTAATGTTATTTCAAGAACTGAACACATTAACCTCTCTAAAATGGAAATCTCAGTCTTTAACCTTCAAAGAAAATTAATGCAAATTCAGATAATCTGTGTCGGCTTGATTTTAAGACTATGTTTGAGAAATAAAATATGTATATCTGCCCTAACACCTTATATAGGATCAGGCAATAGCTAAAAAAAAAAAGAACAATTTTCAGCAGTGAAAATCAAAGTACATATAATTTTTAAAATGGGTGGGTCCAAAGTAATCCTCAAATTTTAATACAGCACACATTTCTGCAGTAGATGGATGTGAAGTTTGATTTTCTTTTGAATAGGTGAATAATAATTGAATTGGATGAGGGGACTTGTTTGTTGAATAACCAGGCCAACTATACTTTTTTAATAAGGCTGTAAGAGAGGAGGTATTTGTTTCTTAATACTTATTGTATGTACTATGTTCTTAGGGTAAGCTCTAAGAGATTCTACTTCTGTTTGATTTATGGGAAGAGAGATGATTGAAATCATTTTTTAAATGACCAAATATACTAGAAATATTGCTTTGTACATGATTTATAAAGCAGAAGTCTTATTTCTGGTTCAGCTACTAACTGTGCAAACATAATCATGTCACTGATCTTATTTTTCATATTTATAAAATCAGAATTAAAGTATCATTCTTATCTAGACTGCTATAGAGATCAATTAAGACAACCCAGAGATCAGCACATTTTTTTTTTTTTTTTTTTTTGGTACTGAGGATCAAACTCAGGACTTTGTGCTTGCAAGGCAGGTGGTGGAACCACTAAGCTAAATCCCCAGCCCCAGCACATCTTTTCTTGGTGAATTAACTTAGGAAAGGAGCAGTACTTTGAAAATCATTAAGCCTTAAACAAACATGAGATGTTATTTGCACCAGTACACTCACAGCACCTGTATCCCGTGGAATTTAAAGAAAGAAAGTTCTGTGTAGGTGCTCACAGTGTGTTCCTGCCCTGATGGAGACCCTCATACCTACCTGGGGGGTAAGGAGTACATAAGATCATTTGCCACAGACCACAGGCTCTGAAGTTACATAAAATGATTTTTTAAATACAAATGAAACAGAAAATGTTCTACTCACCTACTTTTAAAATTAAGAATAGTTAATGCAAAACTTAATTCAGGGGACGGGGTTTCAGCTCAGTGGTGCCACGCCTGCCTAGTAAGCACAAAGTCCCGAGTTTGACCAGGAAATATAAAATATGAAGCAGCGGAAAACCGTGGAAAGAACATGGAGCTCTGAGAGCCAAGAAATTTGAGGTCTGGTCACTGTAACATCTATCAAGTGAGAGTAACATATGAAACTTTTAAAGACTCTCCTAGGTCAAAATATCATAGCTCCAAATAATCCAAACTATGTTTTGATTTTTTTCTTGTGCTTTACTTTTTTTTCTGTATTTTGCATAATTAAGGGAAATGAGGAAAACAGGATAGAGCATGACAGACAGAAAAAGAGGAAGATGATGAATGGTAAGGATAAAACACAAAGACCAAGGGGCAAATGCACAAATTCTACCCTCAACCTTACCCTAACTCACCCCAAAACAATTGTGTGAGTAAAAAGAAGAAAGATACACACCAACCAAAGACATTCAAATGTAGAATAAATGGGCACATAGTGATTTCAGCGGAGTGATACCCTTATTTTGTTCATTTTAAAACTTATAAACACAAAACTATAAAAACATTTATGTAATGTGCTTTTACATTAAGAGCTATAAATAGAGTCAGTTCAAAGAAGGTGCCTCCTGAACTAGATATCATCAAGTTGAAGTTTTAAGATAACCTATCTCTGCCATACACTACTCCCAGTCTTTGAGCAAACTGTCACTTGTTATTTTTACAATATCATACCCCTTGGTCATTTCTACACAAGCAAGCCAAAAATGAACTTCCCTAAAGTAGAAATGTGTCCCAAGCATTTTTTATGAATCAGAATTTGGCATTGCTTTGCTCCAAATAAACAAGATTAAAAAAAATTTTTTTTTGTTTTGGTACCAGGGATCGAACTCAGGTCCTTGCGCTTGATTTCAAGGCAGGTGCTGGAACCACTGAGCTAAATCTCCAGCCCAAGATTTATATATTTTAACTTACTAGTTACCAGTGATGTAAATCTCACATTGCAATTTTTTTTTTTTT